CAGCATCTGGGTCAGTCTCGTTTACAGAACTGCCTAGATGTGAACTCAGTTGTCTCTGGAATTCACATTTGGCTTTCTCGTCCTCCAGTTCAATCCTAACGGGTCTTCTTAGTTTACTTTTCCTGCGTCCATTGAGGCGCAGACAAATGCGTGCTCGTACTAAAGCGTGATCAGAGTCTAAACAAGTATTCCAATACGAGCGACAATCTTCTATTGAGCCTCTCCAACGATGACTGATGACAATATGGTCTATTTGAGTCCATCGTTGGTTTGGTGCAGGTGGTCGCCATGTTAGACGATGTCTCTCCTTATGTTTAAAATTAGTGCTTGCTAAAAATAAACGATTGTCTGAGCATAGTTGCAACAGACGATCACCATTATCGGTTCGTTGAGCCGGAATACTAAAACACCCACCTAAATGTCTTTCTGTTTGATTCAAGCTGCCTACCTGGGCATTAAAGTCACCCGCTACGACTACTATGTCTGAGCGCTTAGCTTTCTAAAGAAGCTCAGAGAGCTTTCTGTAAAAGTCATCTTTCACCTCATCATGGCTGCAGTCAGTGGGAGCGTAGGCAGAAACGACGAAAAGACAACGACGTGTGTCCCTATCCTTCCGAGTTCTTACGGAGCCATTTAGCCGGACAGCACACAGGCGACTGTTAACGGGGATCCATTCTAGTAGTGCCTGTTCTGCCCTTGTACTTAATGCTATACCTACACCTGCAAGTCCACGAGAACTAGCCAACGGGTCGCCAGATACACGGAGGGTGTATTTCGTTGGCTGTCCATTTTGGCGAGGTGAGGTCAAGTGAATGACCACACTAGGATCCTGTATGCGTGTTTCGGAGACACAGCATACATCAATGGTACGCGACTCTAAGGTTTTAGCTAAGGAGGCCTGTTGACCGATTTGACTTAAAGTACGTACGTTGAAGGCTCCAATGTGTAGTTTGGAGCGAGGTTTTAGTAGACCTGGGACAGCGTTTCGCGCACTAGAATCGTTGGCCATGGTGACACTTGAGGAGGAAACCGAGAGAGGAAGTTTAGTGTTGAAAGTCAAGGTAGTAGGAATTGAAGAAGGAGATTGATTATGAATACAGTGGTCTTGAGTGTTGTTGGAGGTATGAGGGCAGTTATCACTTCCCGGTTGCCCACACCGTGGAAGGATTCTTCTAGAGGTACCTGAAAAGGAAATTGGGTTAGAAGTGGTCTTAATGACCGGAGAGCGTGACCGCAGTGCCCAAGGGACAGCTGCTTGAGGTCGGTCACACACGACCTTTTTCTGGGTAGTTTTTGTGTTAGCTCCGTTCTTCAAAAAAACCTTACCGCCGGAGACGGATATCCGTGGGATAAGGCGAAGCGTGCATTTTTAGGGTCGACCTTTTCTAACCCCACCCCTCCTTGTGGGAAGGCAGCATCGCTGTCATGCTGGTTGTCTGAAGGAAACACCTTACTGCTTTCACACCTCTGTACAGTCAGCAGTACGACTTCGCCTTCGGACCTTGGGTTTGCTGCTTTTAGTCTCACCGCTCTCCAAACGACCTGTCTGGCATGGTAGGACCTCGAGGAACGATTGTTCCAGCCAGCATAGCTCGATTGGATCATCACGATAGGCAAGCCCGACCACCACGTCAAGGTAGCAGCAACGGTCGGGCGCCACACTCAAAAAAAAAAAAAACAACACATCCTATGCTGTACTATCCAGTTAGTTCTACTACGACCCAACACCAACCACCAACCAACCGATAACACTGTCTCATACAGTGTCTTTGGGATATCTGCGCGAATGTACTGTTTATTATTTTTATTGATTTTGTTTATTTAGCAACCCTGCATAGGAAGCATACTATAAGCAGACTAATGCTGTAAATTAAAAATCATGCCCACGAAAGTGGCATACATCTTCTCCGACAGAACTGTTTTATTGTATGCTATCTACAGTCGAAAAAGCATTGAAAGTTCATGTCGGAAAGGGATTTACATGACCATTCTGAGAATACCATCTACAACTATAGGAACCTGGATGTAAGCTTTTACTGACTTGAAAATACTGCTATATGTTTAATGATAGCTGTCAAATCATTTAAGACAAGGAATAACGATTTGGGGTAGTCGTTTGGTCTAACAACTTATAACCTCAAGTTAGATGTTATACGTTGTGGTGATTTTTATAGCATTCATTTCAAAGTCCAAAAAGTGGCAACAAATGCTTTTCGACCTTAGCTTCTTGGTAGTCAACCGGCATGTCCTTGATAATATAGGTCATTATATATTCGGTGTGTGACGTGTGACACTTATAGTTGTACATCTCAATTCCGTGTTTGCTTGCCTGAGTTCAGTGAACTTGTAGAAGACTGACTTAAAGTACCGGTTTGACATGCCCCTGACCGTGAATAAACATCAGCCATTACTAAAGAACACTGTGAGGACGGATATCTAATTCTTTCTGTTTTCTAACCTCCGTTCGTCGGGTTATATGGGTACGTTTTGTGTTCCAAGCAAATCCGCGCAAACTGTAGACGAAGATATATATAAGGTACCGAGGGTTCGATGCGTGAGATGTTGCAGACTTAGTGTAACGACTACAATTACAGTATTTTGTCTGAACTCATAACTGACGAACCAAAGTTTACTTGATGAGGCCAGACCAAGTTCAGTACAGCGAAAAGTTTTGGATGATTCATATCAAATTATGGTAAAACACAAAGTCTGTGCTCAACTTGAACGGCCCTATTTTAAGAAGGGAAATAAATAACATCAAAAGTACGGAATGCCTCAGATGGTACAGCTTGTTCCATACAGTAAATGAATTTCCTAGCACAAAATACCGTGCTAAACAGCAAAAAGGGATGGTAAGCAAATAAGTGTTCTGTGGCTGAGAATCAATGAGAGTATTCCCAAGAACATGGGATCAAATCTCTATCTTCAAGTATTCGGGTGACCGTCTCCAGCAGGCTGCTAAATATCAACAATCATCAACTTGACCACGCCGTAACCTTGAGCTTAGTCAAACAAGACTCCATTAGCAATGGCCAGGCAAAATGAAACAGTAAAACCAAGTGATAGAGGTGAATCTTTGACCAAAGCCAAATGATAAAACCCAGACATAGATGAATGAGAAGCATAAAATGTTGTTACAAGAGGCATTAGTAGATGTTAAGTACAAGACAGTGAAAAACAGCATAGAAATAACAATTCTGTCCAGTGAAGCACTGAGGCGACTTTCAGTATATTCTGTCCGTTACACCGGGCACTGAAATCTCCCAACTTCATACGGACACTTTTAGGTACAGTCAGCCATTGCTATCCTAGCTTACTTGCCTACCTTAATGGGAAGTGCAGGACTCACAGCAGTACGCCTGTACACCTATGAACCTGACATACAACCAACGGTTATTCTGTTTCCTCTATAAGACAGCCTATGCACTTCTCTCATATCAACTTCCGTATGCACCATCACTGTTCTTACAAGACCATCTCCATCTATCTCGTACCTATCAATCAGTCCCACTGACCATCAGCTGAGAATAGTAAAGTCGCTAGCCACCAGCACTACACTTGCTTTCCTTAAGTCTGTGAAGTCATTTCTGTCTCACTTTCAGTAACAGAACTTACTCCTTCATCCAGGAGGTATCAGATAGACAGATTTCCTTTCACCGTCCTTCTGAGTACCTTACCGCACTAGCTCACTTAATCCCCAAACAATAACAATCTTTTAGTAGCAACAGGGTTTCGGGTGTGGACATCAAGTCACCGTTCTCGTCAGATGTCACAGTAACGGCGGGGTTGTTATATGACATTCTTTCTCTACAAGGTAGGCTGATAAACTGTTATCGTGTAGGACTTGTTGGTTAGAAATGGTTAGGAGCATCCCTGGGACATAGCTTATCTGTACCAAAGTCCGCCTCAATGGCTAGCTAGTGGGGTGTTGAAATAGCAGTGTATCTCGTGTGATGTTATAAAATCGCTTGTCCTATGTTCGTTCCACATACATCACTTCACAATCCAGAAGTTGTCAGGGCATATTAATAATTCAAAAAGATTTGTAATTCCACTCTCGATTTTTTATGCTTCCTGCTGTCCCAATGATAACCAAAGCTCGATGTTCAGAGAAATCTTATCCCCCTTCCACGTTATTTCGACTCGGGACGATATCTGTCCTAACTTGTTATGGGATTCCGGGAAGCTAGGGCTACAGATAGTGGAAATTCCGAATGTTTGAAAGGTTATTGATTTCGGGAAGTTATACACTATCACTGAGTAATCTGTTGAACCTGTTACATGGTATTTCCTTCACAATAAGGAATGGTCAGAAAAAAATACATGGGTGTTGTCAGGGTTAAAATATGGAATAATTTCAAAGAGTTCTTGCTTGATAGGTTATAAAGCGCTAAAACTTTCGTTGGTGTGTCTATAAGAACACAGGAAAGGGATACGAGGTAAACTAAATCCAAAGAAGAAGGATGTGAAAACATCCCATACAAATCCGATCATAGCTTTGAACTTTAAACATAAGTTTAGATCGGAGCTTTTAGTAGTAAAAGCCCAATGGAAGCAAATCATCTCAAACATGGAGAAATCTTACATCTTTCCAAATCGCATGATGATTTCCTATCGATGACTGTGATGTTGCCTCAGTCTTTCCTTTTTATATGACCAGATGCACGATATTTGCCAATACTACTTGAAAGTGGGAGAATAAGTAATGTTTTTTTACTGTTGTTTTCCTATTGTCTAAACGGTGTTATCAAAGCGGAATACTCACTCTGTTCCACTATATCCCCAACAGACTATACAAGGTAGAGGTGTTTTGTAATTTTCTGGGATGTACTGTTGAATGAGTAGGCATTTTGAAGGTTTTATAACATCATTCTCAACTTTAATTATTTGGTGTTTTAATTGATTGTTTCGTTTGTATTTGCCTCCATTGTATCAAATGTACTCGCGGGTAATGTTGCTGATGCCTACTTCTCGTTATTAGAGTCACCAGATTTTCGTGCATGTTTTGCAGTCATACCATTCAGAAAAACTTTGTGGAATTAAAGTCGCTTGTGGACTATACAAATCGAAGAGAATTCGGTAGGACTGCATGTCACGAACATCAGAGCGTTTCGGACAAGCTCACAGCACAGCGATGCACTAAAGCTCTAATAGCTGACACACCAGTCAATTGTCGCTCCGTATATTTACTCCGACTCAATTGTTCTGGCCGGCTTGTTGCTGCGGCACATGGAGACCGTTCTGTTTGTGTTTATTGCGCTTCCACTGGTCGACTACTATTAAGATGCATTGGTCATGAGAGATCTCCTTGGACACTAACTGTAAGTCATACTTTCATCAAGTGTTGTTTAATTGGAACTGGGTTTCCGTGCAGAGATCTGTATTAAGAAATGGTATGAGTGGGTTTCGTTCGTCTAATAGTTATTTCGACCCCAATATTGGAAATGTTTGATCCTGTATTGGCAAATAAATAAACCACTAGCAGTTAAAACCAGGTTCCCTTACTAGCTGCGTAAAGTGAATCGCTTGATTTAGCTCTGCATGAAGCTTAGTAGTCAGACTTTTGTTATCCTAGTCTTTGAGTTTCCCAGCACGTGAGGTTACGCTGTGCGTACTCCTTAAATTTCTAGTTTGTTGTAATTGACCTTGTCACCGTTCTCGACTGGTAAGCTGTATACATTTCACTTTGACTACTTGATTGAGGGCTGTATTGCTCGTTTTTTTGTATTACACGTTAACCTAATCCGCTAATAAATTTCCCAGACGACGTTCTCAATTCTATTTTCCTAATATAAACATCTTAGTTGTCTTCACTCCTCACGGCTTTTAAAAGTTCACATCTAATCTGTAAGGATTTGAGTTGAAAATTATTTGAAAATCAGCTTCCACTAACTTAAGTCATAGTTTTGGCAATGCTTGTCGTTCTCAAAACTAAACAAATGCAATCTATGTAACTCGAGCTGGTTAGCGATTCTTAAGGTTAAGATCATAAAAATTCACATCTATGAGTCAGCTGGTTGTTGCATGCTCATTCTTTTGGTAGGTTCAAAGGACCCAAGCACTTTACTGTCAGTTATCCAGGTTTAAAATTGTCTATACACCTGATAAACCTAATCATATTGATGGTCAGTTATTCTAGTACGTGAGTATGGAGAAGAGGAAAGTTGATTATGAACACTGATCTTGAGCGCTGTTAAGGATATGAGGGTGGTTATCACTTCCCGGTTGCCCACACCGTGGAAGGGTTCTAGGAATATCTTAAAGAGAAATTGGGTTAGAGTTAGTCTCAGTGACCTGAGAGTGTGATCGCAGTGCCCAAGAGACAACTGTTTGAGGCCAGTCACACACGATCTTTTTGTGAGTAATTTTAGTGTTTGCTCCGTAGTTGTTCAGACCTTACCGCTAGAGACGGATATCCGTTGGATAAGGCGAAGCGTGCATTTTTAGGACCAACCTTTTCTAACTTCACCCCTCCTTGTGGGAAGGCAGTATCGCTGTTATGTTGGTTGTTTGAAAGAAACACCTTACTGCCGTCATACCTCTGTACAGTCAGCAGTACGACTTCGCCCTCGGACCTTGGGTTTTCTACTTTTAGTTTAACCGTCCTTCAACTGACCTTCCTGGCATGGTGTGACCTTGAGGGACGATTGTTCCAGTCAGTATAGCCCGATCGGTTCATCACGACGGGCAAGCCCGACCACCATGTCAAGGTAGCAGCAGCGGTCGGATGTCTAAGAAGTCCATATGTTGGAACGTGTTCAATAGTGGGTAGAATGCGAGTCCAACCTGTCTTATAACTATACTGTCTTGTAGTATTTAACATGACCTTCATTGCCTCTGACTCCAGTTACAAGCAGACAATAAGACAGTTTACATAGCTTTCATGATTCTACCAAAATACAGACTATCAAGCCATATTTTGTCTGGTCCTAAAGAGTCCTTAGTCGCCCCTCATAAAGGATCTATAACAGGCTGATGTGCAATCTCTGACATCCTAGTAATTTTGTTTTTATTCACGTTGCAGAGCAATTGATCAAATGTTTGGATAAATTTTTTTTTTATTTTATTTAAACACATATATATTGGTACAAAAGGGCACCAGGTACATATGCGCCACACAAAATAATGAAAGTAGGTAGATAAAGGATGAAAAGATAAGGCGGGCTGAAATGTACAACCAGAAGATTCTTTCAGTTAGGAAAGTTAGAACCATTCTTTATGTAGAAAGTAAAAGAAGGTTGCAGCAGGATCGCCACTGGCTTCTATTCTGAGCCATATCCGATAACGTCTCTAGCCACTGTGTTGCACTATCTCTCGGACCCCAACCAGGGAGTCGTGAAGGACCAACGGAAGCTAGCCCTTTGCAGCTCTCTTTCATGCCACGACACCATGTCATACACTGACCTCCTCTCCGCTTTCTCCAACCAGTCCCAGGGTCGGCAAATAATGCATGACGCGGAAGTCTCTGGGACGACATTCGTAAAACATGTCCGAGCCACCGAAGTCGGTGTTTCAAGATGGTGACACCAATTGAATTATCGTCTCTGCGCCCGAACACACGATGTCGAACCTCTGCATTACTAACATGGTGTTGCCACTGGATGTCAGCAATCCTTCGGAGACAACGATGATCGAACACACAGAGACGTCTAACATCCTCAACTCGGAGAGGCCAGGTTTCACAAGCATAGAGCAAAACTGCTCTCACCGACGTGTTGTAGATCCGACCTTTTACAGCCAGACTAACATCACGAAGGCGCCAAAGATGGCCCAGATTGGCATAAGCCGCTCTGGCTTTCACTATACGTGCATCAATCTCATCACTCACGCCACCACCAGCACTTATATAGCTACCTAGATACACGAACTTCTCAACTACTTCGATCTGCTCACCATCCAGGGTGAGTACAGGATGAGAATCCTGCCAGTCTTGTAGAAGTACTTTGCACTTGGAGGGTGCAAAGCACATGCCGTACCTGCGGACACTGATTGCCAACTGATTAAGTGCTGATTGCATGCCTTGGGCATTATCGCACAGTAAGACAATATCATCCGCATACTCGAGGTCGAGAAGTCGTTCTCCAGGCAACATATCCACACCGCCATTACTTACATCCATCAGAGCTGTTTCTAGGATGTCGTCGATGGCAAAGTTGAAGAGGAATGGGGAGATCGGGCAACCCTGCCTAACCCCACTGCTCGAATGGAACAAGGGAGAAAGGTGGTTGTATGCCCTCACTCTGCCTGAGGTGTTCGTATACAGGGCTTTTAAGATGTTAATGAACTTCTCAGGCACACCCTTCTTCAATAGACAATCCCAGAGAACAGTCCTGTCCAACGAATCGAAGGCAGCCCTGATATCAAGAAACACTACGATTGTTGGCCTGCGATAAGTATGACGGTGTTCTAACATTTGGCGGAGGGTGAAGATGTGATCAATGCATCCTCGACCAGAACGAAAACCAGCCTGCTCCTCGCGAGTCAATCGTTCTCGGGTTTTAAACAACCTACGAAGAATGATAGAAGCCAATAGTTTGGACGCGATCGAAAGTAGACTTATCCCCCGATAGTTGCTACAGGAACAACGTGAACCCTTTTTAAAGATAGGGACGACTATTGACTCATTCCAAAATGTTGGAACACTTTCTTGCTCCCAAACCTTTCCAAACAACGCAGTCAGTTCCTTAGCCAGAAAGTCACCACCATCTTTAAAAAGAGCCGGAGGTAAGTCATCTGGGCCAGGTGATTTATAACGTTTCAAGAGTTGGAGTTCCTTGCGGACTTCCGCCTCGTTTGGTGGATCAGTCGTCACCGGCCATGGGGAGCAGGACAAGCTGGTTGATGTTGCCGGAGCAGCAGGCCAGTTGAACTGCCCTTCGAAAAATTCCGCCCATCGTCCAAGACGTCGAGAGATATTTGTGATTGGCATCCCATCATCCTCGTAGATTGTTTCACTCACACCAGACTTCTTGCTGCCAGTGGCTCGGATGAGTTGGAAGAGCTTCCGGCAGTTACCAGATGCAGCTGCTGCTTCCATCTCATTAGCACGCTCCGACCACCAGGCTTCCCGGTCCTTACACAAGCTTTGCCCGATTTCATTACGTAACAGCCTTCGTTTGTGGTCAAACTCACGGTCACCCGGAGTAGACCGACGGGCTACCATCAGTTGTAAGGAGCCAGAAGAAACCCAGTGCTTGTAAGCGGGACGTTTCGCGAAGCCGCAAGCGGCTTTACTCGCCATTTTCATGGCGTCATGAAGATGCAACCAATGCTTACCTATACTTTTCGGTGGGGTGGTAGCTAGCCTAGAGGCTAGCTCCGCTCGATACTTACTTGCAACAGAAGTTGCAGCCAGTTTACTAATATCAATCTGTTGGTGGTGGTCAATCCTTCGGCCACTGAAAAGTAAGGTGAGATTGGCGCAGACCAGGGCATGATCAGACTCCAGGTAGGTACTCCAAAAGGAGCGGCAGTCTTGTACACAACCACGCCAGCGGTAGCTGATCGCGATGTGATCAATCTGAGTCCAGGCTTGGGATGCAGAGGGAGGACGCCAGGTGGCACACCGGCGATGACTGTGCCGGAAGTTAGTGCTGGCCAGAAACAGGTTGTGGTCTGTGCACAGTTGCAGCAAACGGTCCCCGTTATCTGTCCTGCGACCAACAAGTCCCCATCGGCCACCTAGACGACTCTCTTCTGTGCCTAGACGCCCGACCTGTGCATTCAAGTCTCCGGCTAGTACTACAATATCTGTCGAACGCGCTTTCTGGAGAAGAACTGTTAACTGATGGTAAAACTCATCCTTGATTGCATCCGGGCTGCAATCTGTCGGGGCATAGGCGGAGATGACGAAAAGACACCGTTTCTCACGCCGATTTCTTCTCACTTTGATGGAACTTTCTAATCTAACAGCACATAACCGACTGTTAATGGGGATCCAATCGATTAGTGCTGCCTCAGCTCTAGCGCTTAGTGCGACACCAACGCCAGCAAGACCAGACGAAGATGCCACAGGGTCCCCGGATAAGCGCACGTGGAACAAGCTTTTCGAGGCGACAGATGGAGAGCGGATTTGTAGTACTTCACTAGAGTCTTGAATACGGGTCTCGGATAGACAACAAACGTCAACATTAAGACCTTCCAAAGACATAGCCAGCCCTATCTGTTGTCTGATCTGCATTAGTGTGCGAACGTTGAAGGAAGCCAGCTTGAACGGCGTACGTGGTTTCAGAAAGACTGCCTCAGTATTCATAATCGGTGGAAGCATTCACTTTCAACCAGACAGTGACTGGAGATCGTTTAGATAGGACAGATTTTCCACCAAGAGCGAGCTGCTGCATAAGTTGAAGAGTAAGGTTACACAAATTGGGGATAAAAGGGGGTGAATTAGCGATATGGTAAGTAATAATAATAATAATAATAATAATAATAATAATAATAATAATAATAATAATTTAAATTGTCTTGCTTCTAGTATGAGCAGGGATAGTATCGTCAATAGAATTCATCATTTCATTTATTTGTGTGTGGGCTGTGATACTGCCCGGGTGCCCAAACCGAAGCAGGTGGTTTTCTTAGGGGACCACACCCCGAGCCTTTGACCTAAAGGTCTGATCCACAAGGCAGTGGAGCATCGTGAGGAGATGCAGTCCCATGGTTGCCGTTGACCAACAGCAGGTTCTTCCGCCATTCGTTCCATCAGGATACTGGAGCCCATGTGCACCATTGGTTTGGAATCAGGGTTTTCCAACTCCCCTAGGTGGACCCTCCGTGTCCACCAATCCGGTTATAGCGCCGAACATTCGCTTTTCGTCCTCTCACTTTCGTAAACAACACCCCCGCCACGAGGGTGGATAAATTAACTTATAAATACTTAACCAACCTGACTATACAGTCAGCTGCTCGAAAATCTAAATACCAGTGCTCACAACTGACCGGTTGATATTGTTATAACTTCTATGAAAGATTAACTGTTCAAGATAACGTGGACTTATGTTTTTCATCGGATTAACTGCCTACTAGTTGAAAACACTAAACTGCGTTGTATATTCGGATCCCGCTTAACACTTTGATTAGAATGAACATGTAATAGCACTGATCAAGCACAACTCAATAGTCATTTACACAATCCTAGATTTGGTTGTTTACTTATGTCCGGCTGTTTATTGAATTTACATCTAGTTGTAATCAAGCTCCCTGATACGGGTTGTTGGATGCAACACTCAGTTATCGCTTTATTTTTGCAGTTTTCATACACGATTCCCTTCATTATCCTAAAAAGAGCAAAAACAAAGGTTGATGCAGAATAATATGAATTCATTTTATTTCGTTAGGTTCTTATCAGCTGCTTACAATCTATAATACCTTAAAATCAAAACTACAAATATTGACGTATTTATAAATACGAGGGTGGTTAGAGATGAATGTGTATCATAATGTAGTGTAAATGCCAAGAGTTAGCAAGGTCATAAAGATTTATGTTTCAGATAAATAAAGCTTGAGAGGGAAAGTTTCAGAACACTGAACTAATGATCAGAACTTATAGTTAACGAACATTAGATGATTATGTAATGAAGTAACTGAAAACAGATTAATGGTAATCAAGAAAAATATGAGTTCAATTCAGTCAATTATGAATTAAGGAAAAATTGCAATAACGTAATCAGAACTTCAGAAAGGGTTGGAATAATGAATAATACAATAAAAAGGATGTTTCAGTTTTCCTGTATTTACTAAAAACTTAAGGAACGTCTAACAGACGACCTAATATTTCCGTTTTAAATCTTATTACTTTGCATAAATCTCTTTTCAAATAGTTTCATCCAACACAACCCTTCTTGCTTGCGAGTGGATGTCTTGGTGGCAATGTACGGCTTTGGAATTTAGAGCACTTGGCAGCACTTGGCGATGAAAAAATAGAGGGCACTGTGGAACTGTCATCTGTATGCGTTTGGAAGCACACGGGTGCAATCGCATCACTTGCTTTCCATCCAGTTCACCCCATACTAGTAGCAGCATGGTAAGAGATTCCTAAATGTTGATCTTCTAGTCTTTCTGTAACTTCGTATTTACCCATTTGCAGGTGCTAATTTTCTGGTCATTTGTTTGTGTCGGTACTTGAAAGCGGCATTGTTCGGTTAATTAAAATTGTTCACGGACTTCGAAACTTTAGAGCTCCAAGTGAAAAAGTTTCCCCAGTAGTGTTTGAAATAAAGGCTAAAAGAAACTCCTAATGTTGTTACATGACATATTCTACTCGAAAAAATTTAGCTCTACCGAAATTTATATGTTTCACTTTAGCGTCTCGGTTGCGAAAGTTCCTTTGGACAATCATCTTAATTAACGACAATTTAGTAGTCAATTATTTACACCCCTGAATGAACTAAAGTCTGTTCTCTACTCCATTTTGTAAAATATGGAGCATATTGTCCATGTTTATCGATGTAGCAGATTCACAGGTGAGCCTACGAAGGGAATTCGGAATATATTATCCTGTCATCGATTAAATCCCTAGTTTTTATATCTTGCTAGAATTTGCGATCAATTATTTTTACCTTGAAACAACTTTTTCTTGTAACAGTTGAATTTGTGTTTAACAGAGAATTAATAAACTTCTTCACCTATAGGACTCAAGAAGTGGTCTTTTATGACTGGGTATCTGGTCGGATACTTTCGGCATGGCGATTTGTGTCAAATCACTCACGCGTAAGATGGGTAAAATTCGCCCCTGATGGAACAGTTTTATACACAGCAACCGCCAATCCATCCAACACTGAATCAGTCTATGTACATAAGCAATCTGATCAACCATTTGTTAGGAGTCCAACAAAAGTAGTAGCTACCAAATACCCTAAACAACCATCTTATATCCCAGTGGATCATGGTATGTACTTATAAATTTAAGAATCCCATTATTTATCTTATCGGGTTCCACTTTGGCATACTAACGTTTCGTCATAATTTTTAATCCTAAACAATCGTATCCATTGTGCTCAAAACATAATCCTATATTGCCTGTTACTTTTAAACCCCAAAACTTGTCCATCTTTCCATGACAATTAATGAATATTTATCTTACTCCTTAACAGTTATTATATTTGACACAGACTTTGTTTTGTGCAGTTGTAGCTACCTCCTTGACTTGATGTTCAGGCTTACATTTCGCGATGATCTAATCTGGAAATTGGGACATTTTTTTCTGGGCCCTATAATCTCAGGCGCATATATGTCTGGTGCCCCCTTGTATCAATATTTGTGTTCAAATAAATGAACAAGTCATCTCAGACAGCTTAGTTGAAAAGAAGTAAGACTAAAAACAACAAACTCCTCTGAAGGTAAATTTATACTGCGGACTAAGTCTATGACAACAGTAAGGTATTTATTTCAGACATGCTATCTCCAGCCGTACTCCTCACAACTGAAAAAGGGGTTTAAAAAGTCCCTATTTTATAAATAGCACACCACGTTTCCTCGAGTACTTTCACCGTCGAGGGTAAGTCCTTGAAAGTATGGGGCTAACTCATCTGAGATTACTCGAATAAGGACGTGTAACCGGTCTTAAACAGTTGCCCCTTAGGGACTGTGTTCATGTCCCCGAGTCTCCAAAACTATTATCCTTGTTTCGTTTTCAGGTGTCTCAAAAAGAAGTATCTTTCCGCGGTGTGGGCGACCGCGAACTATTGGGCTCCTTCATGGCTCTAATAGCACGCTAAATCACCACTATCATTATCATACCCCACCTTTATCGCGGGATACTTCTGTTTCCGCTATCAACCCTCCTCGTGTACCACTAGTACTAACAATTCCAGTTCACGAATTGCTATCTGAATCCTGTCTCGAGTTGAACAACAATCACTACTTACAAAGGCCTTATGATCTCGTGCCATCAACGTATACAATGTCTCCCGAAACACGCATACATGATCCTAGCGTTGTCGTTTACTTGACCTCATCCGGCCATTGTGAGGAGCCAATACAGTATACCGTTTGTGTATCCGAAGGCGTGACATCAATTCGTGATCTTAACTATGTAGGTAAAGCACTCTAAAAACAGAACATTGACTTCAGTAGTTGCTTATGTGCTGACCGTTTTGATATCATAGTAAAACTTTGAAAATAAAAGGATACGCCTTTACTTCATCGTTTTTGCCCATGGTCTTACTGTCTGCATTAAAAGATGAATTTTGCGGGAAAATCTTCAGAAAGCCATGCTCTCAGGTGTAGTAATCTTAGCAGATGGTTTTAACGCAGTCAAACTTGGAAACGTAGATTTTTTGGCGTCCCGATCGACCATCTGATGCAATTATGCTCAAATAATCGCTTATTCCTAGGAAGTACACACTCCAAGGATAAGAAGAGACATTGTTCAACCTGGTGACCCCCAACGTCAACGCAATAGATATGAATAGGTCATAGTTCCGTCAACCGTCGTTGGAGAGACTTAGTACAAGACTTCCACTTCTACTGCAGCACATGTTCGGGCTCTTGTCATGCCATGATAAAAGCATGCATTTCTGTGCTCTTCATTGGATGTGCAGAATTCACAACAGAAAGACCCTCTGGATATCAGTTAGAGGATGAAAAGGTCAAAAACGCATTCAACTAAGAATTAGCTAAACATCTTGCCTATTGTAGAGAAACGGTTGGTTCTGCAGGAACTTTGAATAATGTCCAAGCACTTGTAAATAAAGTATTGGATTTATCAAGTACTTAAATCAAAGCATTTTAAATGACTGGTGGATTTAGGTGGCATCCACTGAATTGATAAAGGCTTGGAAGCTCATCTCAACAGGCTCGAAAGATGATGAAGAAATAATTCAAATGCCAACTAACGGAAATTTCGTGTAATGATCGTGAGCAATGGTGGGCAACAAAATCAGAGGAAACGGAAAAGGCTGTGGTCATAGGTAAATTTAGACGACTCTACCGACTGATTAAAGAAATAGTTAGTAAAAACTCGGGAATTATTAAGGCTATCTCGGGAAAAGACGGGACCATTATTCACCCTCGATTCAGGAGATAAGACCAATGAGCAGAACACTGCAAGAAATTGGTCAAATACTCTGCAGCTACCCTTCGGTTACCGACCATTTCCAAACAACCTGAATCGGAAATTGATACGAGTTCCCTAACTCTCAATGAGGTTGGGAATGCTATAACTAATCAAGAGAGAGAGAGAGAGAAAAAAACAGATCGTGATTAATTAACTCCAGTTTATTTATTTAAACATAAATATTGGTACATAAGCGCACCAAATACATATGTGCCACATTTCGTCATTAGATTTGCGTGTGGGCTGTGATATTGCCCGGGTGCCCAGACCAAAGCAGATGGTTTTCTTGGTGGGCCACACCCCGAGCCTTTGACCTAAAGATCTGATCCACAAGGCAGTGGAGCATCGTGAACAGATGCAGTCCCATGGTAGCTGGTGACCAATAACAGGTTCATACGCCATTTGTTCCTTCAGGGTACTGGAGCCCATGTGCACCATTAGTTTGGAATCAGGGTTTTCCGACTCCGCTAGATGGACTCTTGGTGTCCACTAACCCGGTTAAAGCGCCGGACATTCGTTTTTCGTCCTCTCAATTTTGTAAACAACAGTAATGCCACGAGAAGGCAGTGAGTAGGACTTTCCTGGCAGTGGTTATATGCACGTGGTCATGTGAGAGCATTTGGAGAGGGAGAGCGGACTCTCCTCACTCTCGGCCGTACCAGGGCATTTGGAGGAAATAGTGCTCCAGGTTTAGGTACTGGAATATAATTTTGGTCAGAGTTTTGAGATTAGACGTAATCTTATTTGGCTAGTGACTGAAAGTGAAGTAGTTGAGTGCGTCGACCACTACATTTTTTCTGACCAGGCCTGAAGGGTTACTTACTTACGCCTATTACCCCTCATAAAGGAGAATAAGCCGCTCACCAGCATTCTCCATCCAACTCTGTCCCTGGCAATCTTTCCCAGTTGCTGTTCATCCTTCTGATGTATGTTTCCAATTCCCGACGCGGTTATTCTTTGACCTTCCTCTTTTTCGTCTCCCTTCAGGATTCCAAGTTAGGGTTCGCCTCGTGCTGTAGTTTGGTGACTTTCTCAATGTGTGCCCTATCCACTCTCAACATTTTTTCTTAATTTCCTCTTCACCTGGAAGTTGATTTCGCACCTATTGTTAAAAATATAAGGATGCTAAGTGGTTAGGCGCGTTAGTGTTCCATGTTTCTTACTACGACGCGTTCGATTTGGTTACGATGTTTTTTTTCTAAGTCTTTACGCTGATATCAGTCTAAACTATAGAAGCGCTTCTAACGGATTATACAATGGTGTAATCTAAAAAACAATAATTAACATGCTTGGAGGACATTATAAAAATACTCATAATAGGTTATAGATTTTTTATCTTACAATCCTTAACACACTTTTATCTCCTGCAATGAACACAAGAAGAGGAGAACGTGAACAGGAAAACATCTTAACGTCTAGCAGCGAGGATTAGTGTTAAAACCAGAGATAGACACAAGTGATATGACATGATATTATGGGGAACCAACACAACTTTCGAAACAATTGATTAACTTGTCATGACATGGTAACCTGATACACAATCAATTCACTACCATTCTTACATAATGCTAAATCATTAAGAATTTATTCCACCTCACATGAATTAACATTAGCAATGCAAACATAGTAAAAAGAAGCAAATTTATGTCAGTTCGAACACTAACAACAACATAATAATAATAAAGTAAAAAAAAGCAAAACGCAGAACGAAATACGTCTTCCATAATAGTTTATAGTAATGACGAAAATGACACACATCCCGCTACAAGCTCACGGGTCTGAGTGACGGAAACATGTGTTATATATACGTAGTCACCATCTACCTTGATGGACGATATGGAGCAGTGTAGGAAAAGATCATGAGGAAACTAGGGATGACCAAATCAATACTTAGCAGCAGCCCATGAAGCCATTGGGTACTAAATTGAGTCATGTTAGTATATGCAGACTACTTGGTTGTGATCCACTTGATGAACTCAACCAGTGATTGTGATGGGTGATATAGCTGAGAATCGTTCACAACAACACAAACATTTGTTTTTTTCTCGATCGTTGATTCTAGTATTTCTTCATACGTACCTACTCGGTCGTTTCATTCCATATTCATAATATTCAATTGTTAACTGATTGGTAGGACAAAGTAATTAGTAATTCTGAGATTAGATGTAAGGAATTAAAAACAAATGGTAATTTAGTTGATGAAGCTGTGGATTTTCGTAGATCGAAGTGTCTGATATATCCTACATATCCCCAGTCGTCTCCACAATCACACAATGTTGTGTGGCGTATGAGTCAGTTGGAAGCCAAGGAAAGCCAGTTCAATGCGTTTCATCAGTCCATTAATTCGTCATTGACTGTCCTACTAAGTCATTTAATTAGATTTCGAGACTACTTCATCTGAGTCAACTCTTTAACTGTGATCAATCAGTAATATGGTTCGAAATCAATCTCAGTGATCTAGATTCGTTAACTATTCTTCCTCGACGCTCCTAGTACCGAATATTATTCCCTACTTTTTATTTCTCTAATTTATTCCCTTCTGAACCATGTTCTTGGTGTTCTATGTATTACTATCATAGATATCGCTATTACCCCGTTCTTTTACTATACTCCATGTTAATTTTACCTATGTGAAACAATATTAATCGGTTCAGATTTGTGCTCGTTTTGTAACTAACAGAAACAACACGAAGTCTTAAAAACTTTGTCTCAACAAAACAGAAAACTATATATTCTTGTAATTACTTATTCGTCTCTTTTTTGTAGATGGCGTCAGTGTAACTCCCGAAGCCTCATGTGATCACACAGTACCTCGTGATGCTCTTTTAGAATATCTTGTTAATTGTTCTGACTCCTGGTTTCAAAGTCTCGGTATATGTTCTGTTTGTTCGGTTCGTTTATGTCGGTGGGCTGGGACTCTCGGACCTAAATTCCCAGCAACGACGACAGATATTCGCCTTGGAATGTCTGTAGCACAACAAGCCGCAGCTGTTATGGCCTCCAGTACTTCGTCCAACATGATGCCATCACATGTCCAACACCTAATGAACCTGACAAATCCCAATAATCGTTCTGAAGTGTATGAGCGTCTCTGTCGTGATGCTAACCCAGCTGCCGTAGCCATAATTGAAGATATGCCAGTACATGAATTCCTCCGCTCAAGAGGGAACTACTGTCGCTCCCCATGTGTTGCAATCTCGAATAATGGTGTATGTTGTGGTGGTCATGCTTGTGATTTGGTAATAACTCATCGCGAGTTAATGCGTCATTCTTTATGTCGACCTTGCCTCTCTTCATTTTGGTCTTGGGCTAATAAACATGTTGCTTGGTGGCGGTGGTCTTTTTCTACAAATGATGAACAATCTCTAAATTCTGCGTCAAGTGCTGGTAGTAAAGCAGGTTCTGTACCAAATCCTATATCCTTCGGAGTAAGTAAATAACAGATTTGTCCTAACGCGTAAAAATGAGGTATTATTCCTTTTTGCTGTATAGTAAAATCAAAACCGATCACGACGTTGCCCAACCAAGCTATATGCGCAGATAATAACAATTGATTATTAACCTTTGATGTATGCAAAAACCTATACGTGGAATATACAGCCTTGTCAGTTATATTAGGCTAGTTTTTGCGGTGCTATACGACAAATAAATCCTAACAGGTTTGTATTTTTAACAAAAAGCCTGCGATTGATCATTTTTAATCCGACTGGTATAGGATAACTCAAAGTAGTTTTTCAACCGCTCATCCTCATAAATACAAACTTACGTTCTTGGTCAATGGTTTTCAGGGAAAACACTGGCTAGAACTGGTGCTGCAGTTAGAAATTCTGAGGAAAGTGGACACGTGGAAAGTGTCTTTGATCGTGTTTTTGGCACGTCTGTTTACCATGTTATTCCAGTGCGTGAGATTGAGTAAAAAACCGAATGACTATCGTCACCAAATATGAAATTAATCTGTGAAGTCATCAAAATAATATAAAGAGTTGATTTCCGAGATAGACTTTTGTAGATATTGACTATCAGTGGTTAAAGATCGTTAGTCTCTTGATTCAGACTTAGTTACATTGGCAAGTATGGCTTTAATTTTTTTTCTTCAAGTCCCAAATACTTTATTATTGGTCATTTATCTGCGTTGACATATATTATGGTTTGATTGTTCTTTTTACCTTATGTATCGTTAACTGTGGTGACTTGAGCTCATTCACTTTTGTGTAAAGTTATAGTTTCGGCTTTCTCTCTGTATTTGAATTGGTAACATTGAATTTGGGTTGATTATTTCACAATATGGTTAATCTGTTATCTATTTGTTAGTTCATTGTAGCCTGTATTTACTATCTCACAGTTTTGTCATTTTGTATTCGTCTCATTGTTCTTCATGTTTACCTAGAAAACGAGTAATACGGAAAAGTCTTCTCATATTGAACCTCCTGTTGGCATTTGCATTCAGTGTCAAGCTAAAATGTCCTTACAATTACAATCATCACCCAGTATGTCACTGACATGTAACCAATCTCCCGTTTTACCTCATGGAGGTGGTTCTGAACCTAAGGAATCCGATGTCCCGTCAGTCAATGGAAAAACCCCTAAATCTCTCCGCTTAATGCCGCTTGCAGCTTTGGATCTATTACGCTCAAGGTTAAGTAATGCTCATGAAGTTACTCCAGTAACTTATGTAGCCACCGACTTAATCAACGACTTTGTTTTCAGTCAACACATCAAAAAACTGTTAGTCAACGGCGGTGATTCCGATCTCGATTTATCTCATACACTGTGGGACTCAAGTATTACTATACCTTACAATCAGGCAGAACAGATAGTCTTGTGTGCCTCTTCTTCACCTAAGGTATGTTATTTCTCATGATGACAGTTTCGGTCATTTTTGTATTTAGACTAAGGAATTTTAAACTAAATGTCTGCAAAGTTACTCATATCTTTTTCTCACAAACGCACCCTTATTCGTTTGATAATAATAGTAGCAGTACTGCGGCCAAAATATGCTTTTTGGGTCGCCGTGTCTAATGTTTAGGATATCTCTGGAGTTGTTGGTCAGCGTTCGTTTCTCCCTTGGATCCGTTAAAACTAGGTTTTAAGCTCCTGATGTCAAATATCATAATTGCACCGTGAGGTGCGGTCATGCCATCCATGGATAAGGTTTGTGAGAATATCATTACGAAAATAAAGTGGCGACAAACGAAACTAAAGAAAAAGTGATCACTAGGTAACTTTGCAGTATATGCGTACCGTGCAACCTTATTGCAAATCGTTGTCTATTCATTTTGATGCTCATACTCTACACAAATCTCTAACCAACTACCTATGCACTCCAATGAATTCTTCATAATTATTGTTGCTGATTTTATCCCATAATTCTTACTTACTTATGCCTGTTACCCCTCGTCGAGGAGCATAGGCCGCTCACCAGCATTCTCCATCCAACTCTGTCCTGAGCCTTCCTTTCCAGTTCTTTCCAGTTGCTGTTCATCCTTTTCATATCTGCTTCTATTTCCCGGCGTAGTGTGTTCTTTGGCCTTCCTCTTTTCCGCTTCCCTTCCGGATTCCAAGTTAGGGATTGAGTCGTGATGCACATTGGTGATTTCCTTAATGTATGTCCTATCCACTTCCAACGTCTTTTCCTAATTTCCTCTTCAGCTTAAAGCTGGTTTGTCCTCTCCCATAAAACACTGTTGCTGATAGCATCCGGTCAGTGGATGTTGAGTATTTTGCGTAGACAACTATTTATAAATACTTGTACCTTCCTGATGATGGTTGTAGTAGTTCTCCACGTTTCAGCTCCATACAGTAGGACTGTCTTGACGTTCGTGTTAAAGATTCTGACCTTGAAATTAGTTGAGAGTTGTTTAGAGTTCCATATGTTCTTCAATTGTAGAAATGCTGCCCTTGCTTTACCAATCCTCGCCTTTACATTTGCGTCCGATCCTCCTTGTTTATCAACGATGCTTCCCAGGTATGTGAATGTCCCCACCTCTTCCAGAGTTTAGTCATCAAGTGTGATTGGGTTGGTGTTCTCCGTGTTGCATTTGAGAATCTTGCTTTTTCCTTTGTGAATGTGGAGGCTGCTGCTACATTTGCTGTCTTCATCTGCATTTGTTCGTGTGTATGAGAGAGGAGGGCTAGGTCATCTGCGAAGTCCAAATCATCTAATTGATTCTGAGAAGTCCATTGTATCCCGTATTTCCCCTCAGATGTCGAATTCTTCATAATCCAGTCAATCACCAGAAGGAAGAGGAATGGGGAGAGTAAACAGCTTTGTCTGACTCCGGTCCTTACTGGAAATGCATCTGTCAGCTGTCCTCCATGCACGACTTTGCACTGTAGTCCATCGTATGAGTTTTGGATAATGTTGACGATCTTCTGAGGAACTCCATAGTGTCGAAGAAGTTTCCATAATGTTCTCCGGTCCACGCTGTCAAACGCCTTCTCATAGTCAATGAAGTTGATGTATAGTGACGAGTTTCACTCAACTGATTGTTCCACGATGATCCGTAGTGTCGCAATCTGGTCTGTGCACGACCTGTCCTTACGGAATGCAGCCTGTCGATCTCGAAGTCGAGCGTCTAATGTATTTTTCATCCGGTTGAGCGACACTCGGTTGAAAACTTTTCCTGGTACTGACAACAAACTGATGCCTCTGTAATTCTCACATTTGCTCAGATCTCCTTTCTTTGATATCTTGATGAGATTGTTGTAGCGTAAATCTGATTCTGTGTATACTCGTATGTAATAAATGACTTTATCCGCGTTGGTGAACAACGGAGTTAAATACGTCAAATACGAGAATAGATTTAGAATACATATATTTTCTACAGTCATTGATCTGGCCAGAGAATCAGAGTGATGAAGCGAATAAAAGCGAACGAAGCAAAAGACCATGCGCAATGGAGATTGGCTGGGAAGCCAACTCGAGAGCGAAGCGAGAACAATGCGTATTGGAGATGGCTGGTAAGCCAACTCGATTTAAGCAAGCGTTAATCAACATTTATGGTCGGACAAAAATGATTGACAGACATACGATGAATAAGATACTAAGTGTACACATATATGCTCATATAACAGTATAGTCAAGGTTAATAAGCAAATGATTAACAATATCAAAATATGACTCATAATGGATAGGCGAATTGGCTTGACCAGCAACTAGAATAAAGTATATGGGCTTAACATATAAACTGATACTACAAGATATCCTTCTTTTCAGTCCGTTGGCACTTGTTCGTCTTCCCAAATCTTCTTGAATAGAAAGTGAAGCTTGTTTGCTGTTACTTCTATGTCTGACTTCAGTGCTTCAGCTGGTATATTGTCAGGTCATACCGCCTTCCCACTTTTTATTTGTCTGATGGCCATCTTGACTTCTTCGATTGTTGGTGGAGTGACATCTATAGGAAGGTCAGTGTGTCCTGCTTCGATGTTCGGTGGATTCAATGGGGCTGGTCTATTCAGCAGTTCCTCGAAGTATTCTGCCCATCTTTTCTTCTGTTCTTGAATCTCAGTGATTGTCTTTCCTTCTTTGTCCTTGACTGGTCTCTCTGGTTTGCTAAATCTCCCTGCCAGTTTCGTCGTTGTATCATATAGTCGTTTTATATTCCCTTCTCTTGCAGCTTTTTCCGCCATCGTTGCTAGTTCTCTCATGTATTTCTGCTTGTCGGACTTAATGCTCTTCTTCGTTTTCTTGTTTGCTTCTGTGTAGTCTGCTTGTGCTTTGACTTCCTCTGCTCGTGTTCGGCTGTTGTTAATTGCTATCTTCTTGTTTCTTCTTTCTTGAGTTTTGTCCAGGGTTCCCATAGAGATCCATTCCTTATGATGATGCTTCTTAGGACCAAGAACCTCCTAACACGTTGAAGTTAGGGCTTCTTTTATCCCTTTCCAGTTGTCCTCCGAAGTAGTTTCTTGTTCCTTCAGTAGATCCTGTAGAGCTTGGAACCTGTTGTTGAGAGTTATCTTGAATTCATTGAGCTTGTCAGTATCTCGAAGGAAGGCTGTATTGAACCTTTGTAGTGCTGTTTGTCCATTGTTCCTTTAGCTTCAGTCTCATCTTGGCCTCAACCAAGTGGTGAACTGAAGCTATGTCAGCTCCTCTCCGGGTTCTCACATCTTCCACTGACCTACGGAATTTTTTGTTGATACAGATGTGATCTATCTGGTTCTCTGTGGTGTGGTCCGGTGAGATCCATGTAGCTTTGTGTATGCGCTTGTGTGCGAATATTGTGTCGCCTATAACGAATTTTTTGAATGCGCATAGGTTTGCAAGTCTCTCCCCATTTTCATTTCTCTCTCCTAGTCCATGTCGTCCAATTACATCTTCATATCCTGTGTTGTCCACTCCAACTTTAGCATTTAGATCTCCCATCAGGATGGTGAGGTCCTTTCGTGAGCACTTCGCTATAATTGATTGCAGCCTTTCATAGAACTGATCTTTATCATCGTCGTCGCTATCATTGGCGGGTGCATAACATTGGATAACGTTCATTGTGATCCCTTGCTTCTTTGTTCTGAATGATGCTTTGATTATCCTGGGTCCATGAGATTCCCATACTACAAGTGCATTTCGTGCTTCTTTGGACAGCATTAGAACAACTCCCTGAGTGTGTGGAGCATTTTCCCCTTCGTGACCGGAGTACAGCAACATCTCTCCTGTACCTAGCCTTTGTTGTCCAGTTTGTGTCCAATGGGTTTCGCTGATTCCGAGTACTGCCAATTTGTATCTCCTCATTTTCATTGCTATTTGGCTGACCTTCCCGGTTTCCCACATTGTCCGGACTTTTCATGTACCTATGTTGATTGTTGCTCTGATTGTTAGAAAGTGCATCGGTCTCGTGACTTCCGAAGAATTTCGGCTTTCGTCATGAGACGTCATAATTATTCCTTCAACTCCCAGGAAAGAGCTTAAATGGTTTGAATTATTTTTTCTGGTTAGCGTTTTTAAGCGAGTTAGATTTTCTACGGGATGGGGTCGCTAACCCCATACCCAACCCTACTCCTTTACCCGGGCTTGGGACCGACAGTAACTCTAGAATAGCTACAGGCGGAGTTCCCTAATTCATACCTGTATTATAATGTGATTAGTCACATTGTTTTAAATGCTCTGAATTCATATTTGTAATTGGTATTTTGGTTATTACTTGTAATTGTAAAGCCTAGTAAAAAAGCTGCTATCTAAAATATGTATTTGCTTAAATTTTTCCTAAAATCATTGTTGCCTTGTTGCTATGAGCTTACACCCACGAGCGCATTCATCCTGCATTATATAATAACTGAAACTGAGCTAATAGAAATTCGTTTTTTCTCATGGTTGTCATTGAACATAAAAGCACAGTGACGACTTAACAGCCTGAGCACAACCCCAACACTAAATATTTTGGGCTTTGTGTCCAGGGATCCCTAAGTAATCCCTTTTAAACAATAGTTTGTAAGAATAGATAAAATAGATTACTCTCTTGGTCATTAATACGGTTTTTTAGGATGTAAAACGTACATTTAACAAAGGTTCGGGATATGAGCTAAGGGCCCAATGTTGCTGCCAAATTTAAACGATCCATGTGATTCGAGTTGGACAGATAGATCCCACCCAAAAGACAGTTTGATGAGAAGCTAAATGAGTTATAAAAGAAGATTAATCCGTAAGAACATCAACATTAAATTGTTTTATCGCTCGCTTATTTACATGAGAAAATCGCAATTATCGAAATCTGTTATGATAGTATAGAGCCTCCAAAACTATAACGTGCTTATTTCTGTCGAAATTTCTCAGTCTGTCACACTCAACGTCAAGTTATACATTCCCATAACAGCCAGTACAGTGAATAGTCGATCTAGGATCCTGAAGCTCATGTACGCCATTCGTTTAAAGGCAAAATTTTCTGGTCTTTCATTTCTGTGCAGAAATGTTACTTAATTCTTTTGACTCATCCTAAAAAAGGTGAAAATCAGCTATCTTTGAGGACTACATAAGATGCAATCGTATAGGAAGATTTCGAATAGACTTAACGTAATTTACTGATGTTTCCAAAAGTTAGGCTTGACAGTCAAGTTTTAATTGATTTGAGGATGAGTAACCTAAATACGAATTTGCTCCAGTCACTAATGTATTGTTCTTGTTCATTTCGTTTTCCTGAGCATGTTACTTTGTCACATAAAAAACCTACTCATCTGGCTAGTATGTCTCTCTGATTTCTAGTCATTTAGGGGCCTAAATCAGTAATACCATCTCATGACCGTTGCCACCACTCGGCCAAATCATATCATTGTTTTCATCCATTGATTAGTATCTTTCTCATTGACTCTAGCAATCAGAAATTCACTCACCAAATCATCGAAAACGTACTCTATAATAGTTGTTTATGATCGCACAGTGTAGTTTGCAGACTTTAGAATAAAAATGAAACAACTGCTATGTTGCATTTATTTTGTACACAGTGGCTCATGTACCTATGTATTATTTTCCGTCTTTGTAATTAAATGTAATTAGTTCTATTGACTATTTGTTAATTTTGGTTTTTCAGCGTCGAAAAGTGGATAATCAATGTCAGAACAAAATACTTTTTAGTCACTATGGTAGTCAATTATCTTTTGACAATGCCTCAACTTTAAGACCCCTGCTCATGGATTCTGATTCAAAAGATGAATTATTTGAATCTAAACTTCCGAACACTTTTCTAAAGTGTAAATATCGTCTACCGCAGGAGGCCTCTGATTTAGGAGCATACACGCGCGACAACCCTGATAACAACTGGAATTATCCACGTCCTGCCACCATTCACTACACTTCTAGTGTCATACCTTGGATGACATCGTCGATTTTCCCGTACGTCCAGACCGGTGCTTCTCTGCTAAGATCTCCTCGTCAGCTTGGCGATTCTCTTTCGGAATCCACTGCTGTGGATCAAATCCCAGGGTTGCCAACTTCTAACAAAGCCTTTGTAAACGATACACAGCATGTCGACAGTTGTGAAACTGATCAGTGTGAAGGTAATCCTACGTTATTTTAGTTGATGTTATTTATAAATCCTATGTATATTTGTGATAGATTATCAAATATGTTGTTACTCAAACTTCTTACCAGAAAACCCTCTTGGGTATGAATAGGGGTTAATATTCACACTTTATTCTCAAAGTTCATGTAATTATTCACTCAGATTCAGTCAAGTTATTATAAGTTTATTTTACTGTATATATACGCTTGAGTTATGCTTGTTCGTGCTTCTGGCTGCTTGTGAAATACGTTTTCCCCGTTCTGAACCTGGAATCCTCTCTCTAGTTAGTGGGACTAGACGCATCGAAATAGCTTACTTGGTCATTGGGCGACTGAGTCTTCGTTCCGTTCGCAGATTTAGTGAACTCGTAATCTCTTCAAACAGCACAAACCTAGACTTTTGTGACCCGTTTTACGTATATAAGGTTTGGACTCATCAAACTATCAACTTAACTGTCAGGTTGTAGGTTTGCGTTCCCAAGTTTAAGTACTTACGCCTGCTACCCCTCGTGACGGAGCATAGGCCGCCCACCAGCACTCTCCATCGAACTCTATCCTGGGTAAATCTTTCCAGTTGCTATTCATCCTTTTGATGTATGCTTCCAATTGTCGACGCAGTATGTTCTTTGGCCTTCCTCTTTTCCTTTTATCTTAAGGATTTGAGCTTGCGTTGTGATTCAGTTCAATGTTTTCTGTAATGTATGTCCTGTCCACTTCCAGCGTTTAGGTGGTCACATGTTATATCTAATAATTTGCCCACTACATCATTTTGTATACCATTGTTAAGTTGCTTTTGTTACCTGTAACGAGAATTTTCTAGTTTCAACTAATTTTCGTATCTAACGGTAAAAAAACATTACACGAGGAAATAAGACTTCAAACATTTCGCAAGGGTAACTTTTTTCGTATATTTATTCAGTTACTCTGCGATTTTTGCCAGTCCCGAGCGTGCATTCCAACTTTTCAGGCGAAGTTCTCTGAGAAGCAAAAAATATGAAAAATAAAGCCCCTAGACAGATTTGACAACCGAGGTTTTGGATGCGTTTTTTCCTGTTACACTGTAAGTTCAGTCGTGGGTACTGACTGCCAAATTACTGAGGCTCGTTTGTATTTACATAGTAGATGTGATAACTACCAATTATTTTGTTTTTCAACTTGCTTGCTTTCAGGATCCAACCGAAGTTCAATGACTGCGTGTTGCCGTTGTGGTCGTATTGTTCTTCAAACCTTTCCTGTTGATCCTCACTCAAATATCAGTGCAGTCGTCTGTGAAAAGCTAGTTTATTCTGAAAATCGGTACTCAGCTCCTAGTTCCCAGAAAACTCATGATAGCATTATTCATTCACAATGTTCATCTAACCAAGATCCCCATACTCCCACAGATCATCCTTCTTATCAGTTTGGCTTATCGCTATTAAGCTCTCGTCCGTCTGGTTCAACGTCTCTATCTAACTTATCCAGAAATGTAGACGCTAGAAAGTCAGAAACTGTTGGAAGATCAGTAAACGCCGTGCTTCATTTGATTGACCAAACTGGGAGTAATTCTGTATTAAATGCGATGAATCGTAGTATAACTGAAGTTATAACTGGTCTCTTTGTTGACATGGGTGAATATGGATCCGCCTCTAGTCTTCAAGTGAGTTTCTATTCATATAACTAGTGTTTTGTTTACTTCTTCACCGACTACTGTATAACAGGAACTCAACTCTCTATCACTCCAAATTCTGCTGATTAGTTATCAAACAAAACTACCCTAAGAATATGCTATTTTCAAGATTGTTCAGATATTCAGTTTTAAAAAAATCAAACTTGGTAATGTTTTAGTTCTCAAGTGATATTCAAATCTACATTCGAACAAGTTAGACGTATCCATATAATTACTCTCACCCCCAAATGCCCTGGTACGGCCGAGAGTGGGGAGAGTCACCTCTCCCTCTCGAAATACTCTCATATGGCCAGCGAATATATAGCCTCTACCAGGAAAGTCCTACTCACTGCCTTCTCGTGGCGGGGGCGTTGTTTACGAAAGTGAGAGGACGAAAAGCGAATGTCCGGCGCTTTAACCGGGTTGGTGGACACGGAGAGTCCACCTAGGGGAGTTGGAAAACCCTGATTCCAAACCAATGGTGCACGTGGGCTCCAGTATCCTGATGGAACGAATGGCGGACGAACCTGTCGTTGGTCAACGGCTACCATGGGACTACATCTCCTCACGATGCTCCACTGCCTTGTGGATCAGACATTCAGGTCAAAGGCTCGGGGTGTGGCCCCCTAAGAAAACCACCTGCTTCAGTCTGAGCACCTGGGCAGTATCACAGCCCTCACACAAATCTCATTTAACTTGTGTGGCGCATATTTATCTGGTGCTTCATTGTACCAATATTTATGTGTTTAAATAAATAAATAAATAAACAAATAATTACTCTACTATGGGCAGTAAATCTAAAAATGAATTAGCCTTATGCATTCTTACAATGAACTAATCTCATCTCTATACAATAAAGCTCTTTTTAAGTTTATTATATACCTCTATCTTCCCAAAGTACTGTTAATTGTTGCTAGTTTGTTATATAACTAATCTTTTGTTTTTTCCCTTGACAGGATGTTACACATCGTATTTGCCGGTGGGAACTGAGTTTATGTAGTCCTATCTATAACACTCCTTATTTGTCTTCATCTGGTGAACGTGATTCAGCAAGAAGTGCGTGCTCACCCATGCCAACCAATGTTGCTGTATCATATAACAATAATAGTCTTGTCGTTCCTCACGCTCGTTTGTTTAATGATTCATCCGTCTGTCTTTCACCAGATGGACGCCTTCTTGCTGCATTTGTTATTCCTCGGGAGACATCATGCTATACATTACAATCATCTCAGTCTTCCTCTTTACTTGGTACACTTCTCGCCGTGTATCGTCTGCAACCGGAACATAGTCGTGGTCAGTGTCTGTTCGCTCGCCGTTTCACTTCATCCAGTCCTGTATGTGTTGATTTCAGTCCTTTAGGAGATTTTTTGGCAGTCGGGTTAGCAACCACACGCATACCTTCAGAACCATTCTCTGCCACGAGTGAGTCGTCTACGCAAGAAAGTCTTTTAAGATATGGCAGTTCTTCATCGCTCCAGGACCATGCAGACCTCCGTCAGCCAAACGTTAAATGTTCGTGCCAAAGACAATCCTCTGTCGGTAAGTATTTGGATATTATTACTCTACTTTTATGATGTTTACAAGGAAATGAGCATATGGGTGGGACAACATGATTCATAATTACATAATTTTGTCATTTGAATAGACACATCTATATTTTGTAAATTGTACGGTTATTTTAACAAACATTAGCACTCTCGTTATTTAAAGGTTATTATATATCATTTATTGTATTATTTATTTATTTAAACACATATATATTGGTACAAATGGGCACCAGATACATATGCGCCATACATTTATTGTATTAACTGAAGGAGAAATATCTGTAACTGTTATGTTGTTCTTCACCATCTAATGTCCCCTAGATACTGTATTTCACTCGACTTATTGCAAACCAGAACAAGTATTGAGAGAAAACATTATTTATTCCAATTAACTTGAAAACACAAAAATATAATATTAGTAACATTACATAGAATTAACATGAACACCTCTATTCATTCACCCGACCGTTTCTGCTACTCTTTAGGACCAGACAAAATATGGCTTGATAGTCTGTATTTTGGTAGAATCATGAAAGCTATGTAAACTGTCTTATTGTCTGCTTGTAACTGGAGTCAGAGGCAATGAAGGTCATGTTAAATACTACAAGACAGTATAGTTATAAGACAGGTTGGACTCGCATTCTACCCACTATTGAACACGTTCCAACATATGGACTTCTTAGACATCCGACCGCTGCTGCTACCTTGACATGGTGGTCGGGCTTGCCCGTCGTGATGAACCGATCGGGCTATACTGACTGGAACAATCGTCCCTCAAGGTCACACCATGCCAGGAAGGTCAGTTGAAGGACGGTTAAACTAAAAGTAGAAAACCCAAGGTCCGAGGGCGAAGTCGTACTGCTGACTGTACAGAGGTATGACGGCAGTAAGGTGTTTCTTTCAAACAACCAACATAACAGCGATACTGCCTTCCCACAAGGAGGGGTGAAGTTAGAAAAGGTTGGTCCTAAAAATGCACGCTTCGCCTTATCCAACGGATATCCGTCTCTAGCGGTAAGGTCTGAACAACTACGGAGCAAACACTAAAATTACTCACAAAAAGATCGTGTGTGACTGGCCTCAAACAGTTGTCTCTTGGGCACTGCGATCACACTCTCAGGTCACTGAGACTAACTCTAACCCAATTTCTCTTTAAGATATTCCTAGAACCCTTCCACGGTGTGGGCAACCGGGAAGTGATAACCACCCTCATATCCTTAACAGCGCTCAAGATCAGTGTTCATAATCAACCTCACTCTGCTCACCATCTAGGGTGAGCAGATGCCAATCTGGGCTATCTTTGGCGCCTTCGTGATGTTAGTCTGTCTGTAAAAGGTCGGATTTACAACGCGTCGGTGAGAGCAGTTTTGTTCTATGCTTGTGAAACCTGACTTCCCCGAGTTGAGGATGTTAGACGTCTCTCTGTGTTCCATCATCGTTGTCTCCGAAGGACTGCTGACATTCAGTGGCAACACCATGTTAGTAATGCAGAGGTTCGGCATCGTGTGTTCGGGCGCCGAGACGATAATTCAATTGGTGTCACCATCTTGAAACACCGACTTCGGTGGCTTGGACATGTTTTACGAGTGTCGTCCCAGAGACTTCCACGTCGTGCATTATTTGCCGACTCTGGGACTGGTTGGAAAAAGCGGAGAGGAGGTCAGTGTATGACATGGTGTCGTGGCATGAAAGAAAGCTGCAAAGGGCTAGCTTCTGTTGGTCCTTCACGACTCCCTGGCTGGGGCCTGAGAGATGGTGCAACACAGTGGCTAGAGACGTTATCAGATATGGCTCAGAATAGGAATCAATGGCGATCCTGCTGTAACCTTCTTTTACTTTCTTCATAAAGAGTGGCTATAACTTTCCTAACTGAGAGAGCTCTTCTGGTTGTACATTCAGTTCCCCCCAATCATTACTCTCCTCCTTTTCTCTTTTTTCCTTCTTTTATATATACGCATCTTCTTCCTTCTCCTCCCATTCTCATTATTTTGTGTGGCGCATATGTATCCGGTGCCCTTTTACCAATATATATGTGATTAAATAAATAAATTCTTTTTATTCCTCCTACCTCGTCTTTCAACTTTCAACTTCTTTCGGCTCCCTCCTCCGGTGTCACCCTAGCCAACGATTCTTGTGCGCAAAACACTGTCCCAGGTCTACTAAAGCCTCAAGGTACATAAGCGCGCCGAATACATATGTGTCACATTTCTTCATTAGATTTGCGTGTGGGCTGTGATATTGCCCGGGTGCTCGCTCCAAACTACACAACGAAGCCTTCAACCTACGCACCCTATGTCAAATCGACGAGCAGGACTCCTTGGCTAAAACGATTAATATATGCTGTGTCTCTGAAACACGGATACAAGGTCTTAGTGTGGTCATTTGACCTCATCTTGCGAAAACGGAGAGCCGACGAGATACACCCTTCGTTTATCTGGCGACACGATGGCTAGTTCTCGTAAACTTTCAGGTTTAGGATAGCACTGAGTACGAAAGCAGAACAAGTACTAATAGAATGGATCTCTGTTAACAGTTGCCTATGTGTTGTTCGGCCGAACGGCTCCGTAAGTAATCGGAAGGATAGAGACACAGGTCGTTGCGTTTTCGTCGTTTCTGCCTACGCTTCCACTGACTGCAGCCAGGATGAATTGAAAGATGACTTTTACATAATAATCTCTTAACTTCTTCATATAGCTAAACACTCAGACATAGTACTCGTTGCAGGTGACTTGAATGCCCAAGTATGTAGCTTAAACCCAACAGAAAGACATTAAGGTGGGTATTTTAGTATCCCGGCTCAGCGAACAGATAATGGTGATCGTCTGCTGCACTTGTGCTCAGACAAACTTTTATTTTTAGCAAACACTAATATTAGCACAAGGAGAAACATCGTCCAACATAGCGACTCCATGAACCAAACCAACGATGGACTCAAATAGACCATACTGCCATCAGTCATCGTTGGAGAGGCTCGATAGAAGACTGCCGATCGTTCTGGAATACATGTTTATACTCTGATCATGCTTTAATACAAACTTGCCTTTGCTTGCGCCTCACTGGATGCAGAAAAACTACACTAAGAAGACCCATTAGAATTGAACTGGGGGACGAGAAAGCCAAAAGTAAGTTCCAGAAACAACTAAGTTCACATTTAGGTAGTTCTGTAAACGAGGCTCACCCAGATGTTTCTTGGAAAGATATACAAACAGTGCGGAAACATCAGTAATGTCTATTAGTAATTTAAACCAAAGGGTTACAAAAAAAATGGAAGGCTCGTTACTCGAACACTACCAGTCGAGTCAGAACTTACGGCGAACTGTCATCTGACTTCGCAACCTTAAGTGGTGTCTGGTAAGTCTGTCCACTATCTTCATTTTTGTTAAATTTCATCATAGACCTAGTGCTGGAAATAACGTGCTCGTCAACTGAATTTTCAGGAATTGATCTCTTCCCGGAAGGTCTACTTATTGACTTAGAATACACAGATAACATAGTCCTGTTTGGTGAGGTTGCTGATAAAATGCAGAATGTTTTGGTAGCACTGAGTAGCAATGCCAGGATGTTTTGGATAAGTTTCTGTCCCTCTAAATGCAAGTTGTTGCTTCACGACTGGCTTGCGTCAACACTTTAACTAAGGATAAGGAGTGATGGTAAATCAGTTGATGAGGTTATGAATCTTCATAGACTGAGATGGTCGGGCCACGTGTTGTTAGGTATGCCTGAACACCGATCACCACGACGCGCAATGCTGAATAGTATTGGGGATGGTTGGAAAAAAGTTAATGGCTGCCAAACCAAAACATGGTATCAGTGTGTGAAGTTACTAACCTCCGGTCTGAGCCATGTTAGTAGATTCAGACTACTTGGTTGGTGTCCGCATAACTATCGTAACCAATGGTTGGGGACTCTGGGTGACATGGTACAGAATGGATCACTGTGAAGTAGGTGTGTACATTCTCTGTCTTTCTTTCTACGAACTAACCCTTTCTCCCTGTATCATATGCTTATATGAAATCTTTTTTTAACATATTACTACCATTGAAGTAACTACTTCTATGAATATGGTGTTCATCTTGTTGTGGTAATGAGGTATGGCAACTTGAACTGACGCATATATGTACCTGGTCCTACGTTGTAGCTGACTAACTGACTATTCATTCACTTGCACTGATTGGTGCAAGGAGCAATCAACACATTCCACTGTCAGCCCGACCTCAACTAGCCAGAAACCTATATCGTGCAAACAATAACAATATGGTTTATCACTAGTAATTTCCTATCAGATATGTGAAAGGCATTTGTAATAAGTGTTTTATAGTTTTTCCCATGCATACTAAAGCCAATCTATTCTGGTTCTTTATGAGCACGGCAATAATTCTGCATTATATTGTTGAACAAGAGACGAATGCAGAATTATTATTGTATTTCCCTATTTACGTCCTGATTGGTTTCAATAATAATATTTATCATTTTACTCGGACTTCTTAGTATTATCTTGTCTCATTTTAAATGTTTGTTGTCAATTGCTATTTACAAATATTTATAATACTGTCATGTTTATAGTCTTTAGTTTGTCATTTTTAGTTGTCGTTTCAAATAGATTTATTAACTGATATTTGCAGTTCCTGAGAAATTCATTTGTTTAGTAATCTGCTCTGACGGTTGCAATAAGCTTACATTGATATCGATATATCAGCTTTTCTGATGTTACATGGATGTTTAAATGTTATTGAGTTGGGCTTTATCAACCAAATTACCTAACGTTTATAATCACAATAAATTTCAGAAACCAGTTATTAAATATTATAATTTTACCGAATCGCGTTACATTGTTATGTGTGTCGATCAACTTTAAATGTTAATGATCTGTCACTGTGTATTAATTTACACTTCTACCATTTAATACACATTAGAAGTTCAGTGTTCTTTTTTACATGTTCGCTCTTAAAATATGTTGATTCTTTTTATGTTTTTTCTATCACTGTGATATTTCCTTGCATCTCTTCACCATAGCGTGCGTTTTCCACCTTCAACGTTCCAAAACACAGAAGGGTGAAGTTCGTCGAAGCCTGCGTGATATTCAAAATATCAAACATCCTGCTCTGTTGGATCCTGTCTCGTCAAGATATCTTGAATTTTCTAATCCGTCTTCAGAAAAATTAGATCGTTGGCACCGGTTATTACTTTCTGCTCAAAGTGGAATCTCTTTGAATACTATCGTTTGGAATGCTAATGGCAGCATTCTTTACGGTACTACCAAAGGTCTCATCGTAATTTCACATGGAAATCAATCTTCTTCCGTATCAATTCTACCACTTCGTTGTACTAAGTCACATATGCAGTCTGTGAACGACTGCGAAATTTCTTATAGAAGAAAACACTTTATAAATCAAGCACAACCCATTACTAGTTCCTCTAACATTTCTGTCCCCCAGTCTCGTGCTGTAATTTAAATACTGACTTCTCTAAATCTATGTATATTTAGGTTTACTGTGCATTTAGTTTATCTTAATTTTTGCTCATTTTACTGGTAAATTATCCGTAATCATATTTCTAATGGATTCAAACAAAAAATAGAACTTTTGTGACGATTTCAATTCCATATTCAGAGTACCTATCTTAATTTTCTATCTGCAAACCGGTAGTGATTAAAATAAAACTTTATTTTTTATAACTTCGTTCCATTTTTTTAAAAAAATTTAAGTTTCACTATTATACTACAGTTCATATAATGTTGTTCTTTCATTATGTAAAACAGATTTCTACTAAATCAGTCATGTTTGTTTCTAGACCTGCTCACTGACTACTCAAGAATTGTATGTTCACTATATTGTGCGATTTTAACTATTTTCCCACTGTTTACTTGCGTTTTACCAAAAGCAAAGTTATTTTGTTTCGTACTAATCGTTTCATTTTTGTTACACAAGAAGTTAATGTTTATGTTAGAACTTGTTATTATGTGAATGGTTTGCTTCCTTGTGTTTGTTTTCTTTTTTTCTGTATAATCTTCTACCTCAGCTATGTCCCAGTGATCTTTAATGTTACTAACTCGGTTTTACTTTTATTTTGAAATTCTAACTCAATTCTTATTAAATATATATATATATTTCCGGTTTGGGTTTTATCTGGTCTCTTTTTTATTCATAAACTTATTTTCTTTAAATGGGATTACAAAGTATCTATGATGAATGTGCAACACAGTGAATTTTTTAGTTCATGTAAACTACAAGTAACTTCAGTTATGTAAATACTTTTAGTTATTTCCAAGTGTTTTTGATTGAAGTCAGTTCTAAAAGTTGTAAGTTAATCGTACCTATTGTTATATTTTCTACCATACAACAGTAAAAAACGGGATAAATCACCACTCATTTATTTTATCACATATTTTTGTTAGTAGCGTTACGATTTTACAGGATATATATATCTTTTTAGCTGACTCATTTCATCATTCTTTTATTCGACATTTTTTGATTATCATTCGGTGGTGGTTTGTGCTTTTCTTAAAAAAATCTAGAGTATTCAGTTTATTCATTGATCCTGGGAACACTAAAAATAACAAAAACACTTATTCACTGTGCATATTTAAGGAAGTCGGGAATGTGATCCTTTGTTAAATTGACTTGCCTGTGATACATGATACGGACAAACATTACATATGGCTTGTTCCGTAGTTAACTGGTAGTCAGTTATTTGCGTATAATAAATGTTCTGCATATGGTATATGGCGTTTATTGTCGCTGAATGAATAACATATACATGAGTAAATGTTTTACTTATCGATAAGCAATCGACCTTCACGGTAGGAACCATTAGCACTGATTAAAAATCGCATCTATTTATTTATATATTATTATTTATTATTTAAACACATAAATATTGGTACAATGAAGCACCAGATAAATATGCGCCTCACAAATCTCATTCGATTTGTGTGAGGGCTGTGATACTGCCCAGGTGCTCAGACTGAAGCAGGTGGTTTTCTTAGGGGGCCACACCCCGAGCCTTTGACCTGAATGTCTGATCCACAAGGCAGTGGAGCATCGTGAGGAGATGTAGTCCCATGGTAGTCGTTGACCAATGACAGGTTCGTCCGCCATTCGTTCCATCAGGATACTGGAGCCCATGTGCACCCTTGGTTTGGAATCAGGGTTTTCCAACTCCCCTAGGTGGACTCTCCGTGTCCACCAACCCGGTTAAAGCGCCGGACATTCGCTTTTCGTCCTCTCACTTTCGTAAACAACGCCCCCGCCACGAGAAGGCAGTGAGTAGGACTTTCCTGGTAGAGGCTATATATTCACTGGCCATATGAGAGTATTTCGAGAGGGAGAGGTGACTCTCCCCACTCTCGGCCATACCAGGGCATTTGGAGTAAACTATTTACAATACTTACATGCAATAACAGTTAACTGTATCACTTCATCTTTAAATGTTAGTGTCTTTCAATTGTTTGACGGTAGTGAAATAACCATAGGCTATGAAAGATTAAGATCTTCATAGTATTCGATGACAATAGAGTGAATATCTTCTAATCAATTGTAAGGATTCAATTCCCAGGTCACTTTTAGAACCTATGTTGTGCACTGTAATTTCACGTTACCGTATCCATGAACGCTTAATTTCGAAAAGCGTGCATGATATATGGTATTTGGTTAGTTTCTCGTGTGAGTAGTCTATATAGTTCGGCTAAAGAAACAAATGTGAGGATCCAAATCAATATAAAACAATAAACGGTAGCTATACATAACTAGTATTTATTAGCTTTATTTACAAGTGAGAAGACATTAGTAGCATGAAATTAGTAATGAATTAGTTAGTTGTTGGTCTGTATCCAACCTTATTCTAAATTGTCTTTTCAGGTACAGGTGACCCTACTTGACTACGAATACCTTTAGTAGTGGACCAGATCCATCTTAGTGTCTGTCAGTTATTCAGATGATCATAGGTACCTATCACGAAGTTATTAACTTCCAGAAAATAGCTTCGTGGAGAAGGCTGTTTCCTGAGATCCTATGTACATTTATTGATTTACTAAATTCTATTAATTCCTAAGAAGTGAATCAAGAAATCTTGATCCTAAATAGCTAGTGTTTGTTTTCGTCATATAATGAATGAAATTTGTTTATTGACCAAAAATTTCCAACAGCGATTCGTGACTAATTTACAACCTAACTGGTCCAAATTATTTTATTGTTGGGAAATGTGAACTTCGGCTGGCTTCATAGTTATTTGATACAATGTTCCCTTACATCGACCGTACTCATTCTATGAGGTTAACTCTTTTTTTAAGGTAATTTATCAGGTATGGATTCGTATACTTGACTTTCAGCTACGCTCTAAGTGTGAGGGCTAGCGATACTATCAGTTTCCCTAAACTAGGGTAGGAAAAGTGGAGTTTGGACCTGTGAATTATTGACTGAGTTGGACGCTTTAACCATTAAACCACCATCCTGTTTAATGTGTGCTGTAGTTTTCTCTTTATATTTGGAAAATAGCTTTGTTCATTATTGTGAAACCCTTTATCTAGAATGTGTATTTATCGAAAACCGTTTTTAACCAAAAAATTGGTGAACCTCACTTTGCTTAATAATTAGCTGATGGACGTTTACAGTTATATTAGAAGGATTGAAAAGTACTAATATTTAGGAACGTTTCTGAATTGGAATCATTCTAAAAGTTATGGACTTCTAGTGAAACTAAAAACAGTCACTTTCTGTAAGTCTCGAAATTTAAAAATAATACGATCGATTCCCATATCTGAACTTTATTTTCGTTAAGGTTTTTTCTATACGACTTTTTAAAGCAGCTCATTTTTTATCTCCATATTTAGTTATTTTACTGCTAAAGTGTATAAAATTCAACTAAAATGGTGTGATGTACGAAAGGTGATTTACCGTCAATTGTATACAATGAATCCGATATTTGAAATCGATTGACCGTCATTTATAAATGTGACCTCAAAATTTTAACTCTGGATGAAATATATCGACCTGCTATAAGCAATGATTGAATACATTAAATAGATCAATCTATAAACAATGAAGCTTGTTATTTGTCTCATTAGTGTGACACTTACACCTGGTTGCGGTTTCTGTGCGGATTGTTACTCAGTATCTGAAATGAAAAAATTAAGTATTCCTTCTAAACCATTATCAGGTACTTCTAACTAATTATCGTATTTTTAACCAAAGGGTATCTTCTATTTCTGAATCTTAAAAATACACGGCAGTTTATATATATGGCTTGTATTTTGAGTGATTCATCATCTACGCAATCGTATTTGACTAGTCTCGATCGCTGATCGTTCCAGTTTATAAGAAAAGACAAATTTCTCATATAATAACCGTAAGAATCAGCTTGGTCAACATAGTGTCTAAAACACTAACCTGCAATCATCCGACGCTTAAATAGGGCTCATATATAGCAAACCTGAAAAACCGGGTTGTTTTCGACCTACATGTGAATGTATTGATTGAATAATTACTGTTCGGGTTTTAGAACAGGCATTTTTTCTTGACCTTAAAATAGTATTTGATCCTGCTGATCGAGTGGTGTTTTGACAACGTTTCCTACCGAATACTCTCTACTCCCACGCTGTTATTCGAGCTGACAAGTGGTTGGAGATAATGAGTGACGTGGCAGAAATATTCATTTTGTCTTCCCTTGGATCTTGATTTTGAAAATGTTTTTTTCATTCTTCTCTCATTATATTGTCTACAATAATTCTTTTTGCTACTACTGATACCATTATCTTGATAATTTCATCTCTCTATCGTGTGATGTATGGTCTTGATTTATTCACGTTATACTGCGCAGCATTCGTTTCTGTTTCACTTTACGGCTGCGAAACGTGACCATTAAGAGTAGAAGATACTCGTAAGTTACAATATTTGATAACAGATGTCTTAGAAATATTGCTTGCATTTGCTGTGATCACCGGGTAAGTAATAGTGAAGTTAGATGCAGGGTATTAGGGAATGATGGTAAGTCAGTTGATGAGGTTGTGAATCTTCATAGACTGAGATGGTCGGGCCACGTGTTGTTAGGTATGCCTGAACACCGATCACCACGACGCGCAATGCTGAATAGTATTGGGGATGGTTGGAAAAAAGTTAATGGCTGCCAAACCAAAACATGGTATCAGTGTTTGAAGTTACTAACTTCCGGTCTGAGCCATGTTAGTAGATTCAGACTACTTGGTTGGTGTCCGCATAACTATCGTAACCAATGGTTGGGGACTGTGTGTGACATGACTCAGAATATATCTATTTAGCAGTAATTTAATAGTTTATTGATCAATATTTGTATGTGAATGTAGGCTTACGTTGTTGTTATATCCCCTGGTGAATTATGAATGGTAACTCCAAGGACTATTTATCGACCAATGTATTATGCGTATTTCCTATTGTACAATTGTTACGTAACTAAACGATTCATATTTGTGTTTCTCTTATCA